CCGTCGGTCAGCGGCGGGGCCCTGCGGGGCGGCCCCCGGCCCGGCCGCGTCTGTGCGTGTTTTTGCGTGTGTGGGGGCCGCCGGCCGAGGTCCGGGAGCCGTCCCGAGGCCTCCCGCCCAGGCCCTTTTCCCCCCTTGGGCGGCACGCCGCGGGGCTGCGCGGTGTCGGCCTCTCAGCCGGCTCGGTCCTGGGGAGCAGCCGGGGGCCTGACCCTGCTGTGGGCACTCTGTCTCGTTCCTCTCGTTCTGCACCATCTTGTCCTTCTAAAGGGCAGCAGCGGCTCCTGTCCTCTCTGCTGAGAGGAGCACGCTTTGAGGCTTGTTGTGAGGTGAGGGTCGTGGGCGGTGAATGCCGATCGGAGTCCTTACAGCAGGACTGCTTGCTGCCTCAGTGGCTGGTGGCATTGCAAACACATGCGTAGACTCTCGATAGAATTTCCAGCTGGGGGGTCCTGGTACCTTGCTAGGTCACTTAACATTGTTCTGCTCTTGTGAGTCATCCTCCAAGCGACCAGGCTTCCTCCCTGCACTGTGTAGAGAGCTTGGATTGTGGGTCTCGGGACTGTGCGTTCCAGCCGTGCAGCTGGGGGTGGAAATACTGGTTCTGGTAAGCCCCCTGTGGTTTCAGCTTGAATGAGCGTGATTGACAGTGGAAATCCTCACCCCTGAGGATCTGTTAGTATCTGATAGAAGTGATGCTTCAGGAGCTTTATTAGTTTATAAAGTCTCTGGAGGCATTGTTGAAGTGATTTGCCCTTTATTTAGATTTATTTATTTTTATTGTCACATGAAAAAAGTATTATTTCTTTTGGGGAAAAACCTCTGAAAGTGCCTGTTGCATCACATAATATGATATAGCTATTGGTGCAAATTGGTAGAATGTAGCTGGTTTTGTTTAGCTGTTTCTTTGATGGTTTTATGTAGTTGTATGTAACATTGTATACTATTGTATAACATTGGAACTAAGAAGTCCCTGGAGCTACATAAGCTTTGTGGTATTTAAAAATAAGTATTTGATGGTAAGGGTGCCGGTAGTCCGGAGCAAATCCAAAGAGTTGGCAATGGCACTAAGAATGTGGGAAGCAAAATAATTCTCAGATATGAGGAAGCTTTTCTAAAGGTGGAACTTCTTATTTTTTATGGTATGTGTGGACTATGATACCTCTGTCTGCAGTAGTCTCAAGACAAGGTTAACCGCTTTTGGCACACCTGGTGTTTTGAGCTATCGTGGTACTGCATTAGGTCTGAGGCATACTGGATTATGCTTGAAAAACAGACTTTTAAAGTGAAAAACTGGTGCAGATGTTGTGATTCACATTATGCTATTAATATAGAATAGGTATAGGAGAGTCTTTATTTTGGTCTGTCTTTCTGTCTGTCTTGTCTGTCTTTTCTGATTACTTCTCTTTAAGACTTTGGACTTTAGGACAAGTAATTTAACGCCAGGTAATTAAACTGATGATCCCTCTATGCCCTTCCTTTGGCTTCAGTGAGACTTTGTATGCCCTCTGGGACCTGCCTGCATTTAATGGACCAGAGTCTGAAGGAAGTTTTATCCCTGACTTTTCACCCTCCCTTTCTAAAATGGAATAAACCAATGTGAGGGATTTTTCAGATGAAACTTTAATATACTAACAGTTCAACTCAGTTTTTGGTTTGTTTTGTTTAAGTGTTGGCTTTTTGATTGACATCAGTTTCACTCCATCTTTAACAGGTGAAGGTTTTTCTTTTGTCATTTTCTTTCTTGTTTTCTTCTTGGTCACTGTTTTAATCCCTCTTGTTTGCATCTTTGTGGGTTCTTGGGCTTTTTTTTCCTTTGACTTCTCTCCCATTGAATAGAAGTATGTGCCTGTGAATCTGTCTATCAGTTAATGCAACCTAGGACGTAACAGTTTGTCTGAAGAGGTTGTTGCACTGGGAGTAGCTCCAAACAATTGATTTGTTCAAATGAATTGAAAAAATGTGCTTACTCTGGACAGTTGTCAGCTTGTGCTTAGCCATTAACTATGTGTGTAACCAGTACTGTTACACATATTTAATTAAAATAGTTATGCTGGTTATGATTAAAGATGAGAAGTTTAATAGCATTTGAATTTAGTATTCCAGCCGTGGTTTTGTTTCCTTCTAGACTCTTGTTTAGAGGATAGTTTTGCTTCTTAGGGTTCTTAAGTATGTTGTGGGTTTTTTTATTATCAGGAACATCTACTGAAATACAGGGAGGGGTTAATTAAGGGTGACTGGAAGTATGGCCTCATTATAAACTCTGAAGTATGACTGATTTCTAGATAATGTGTTTTTATCCATGTGAAACTTGCTAATCTCCATTTGTAGGTAATTTTATCATTAACTGTGAATTTCTATACTTTAGAGTAATAACCTGAAGAATGCTTTTGCCGTGTGGTTATGTCGTTAAGATTATTACAAAATATTAGGACAAATGTAATTAATTCCTATTATACTTAAATAAAAAGATGAATAATTTGCCAGTTCAGCCTTTTAGTCTCTAAATCAAATTATTTCATTCCTGCTTTTAATATGACCCCTGTTAAAATTTTCAGTCAGAACTTGAGCCTGATTTTCCCTTCCGACACAGGCCCTGCAATTGAGGTTAGGTTAATGGATGAGATTCAGCTGGTGAGAATCAGTAAAATATAGTTACCTGTCAACTGGGGATAAACCTTGTGCGTATACTATATTTTCTTTGTGTAGTGTGGGGGTTTAACATTATCCCCATAGTGTCTTCATTAGTACTGACAAGGGTTATTTTATTATTTTTTTTTACCAAATAATCGATGGAAGCCTAACAAAATTCATGCTTCTGCTTCTTAAAAGGGTTATTTTAAGGGTGACTGATCATTGGGAATGTGTTTTTTCTGTGGTTTTCTGTGTTTCTCTTTTCCATATCCCTTCTTTTTTACTTTCATAGAAGCATAAGACAAGATTTTCTTCTATCTAAATGTGGTGAGATTATCAAATTTGTGAAATCAGTTTATGACCACAGATCACTAGATGGCAGTATGGCTGTTATTTTCACCTAATTGCACACACTTCAATTTGCCAGTCTTAAAGAGTTTCTCCTTTGTTTTTTCAATTTAGTAATACAAAATGTTCTAGTTTGCAAGAAGCAACAAAAGTCACTTCCTTAAGAAGTTAGGCTGAATTTTCAGATGCTACTTCCTTCAAAGTATGTGTTCGTGGCTTGGACTATGCAGAATTATTACTTTTATGTTTTTTTAAATCGCTGAAAAGACAGTCCAGTTCCACACCCAGCAGTCATTAAGGATTTGTAGGCTGATCTTACTGGGAAACTTTTTCCCTGCTACTCCCCTAAGGGAAGTTGGAAACACTCATTGGCAACTTTGTTGAGGACTGAACACTGTTAAGGTCTGTGGATTGCCTGGGTCCCGTGCTCCCCCCCCCCCCCCCCCGCCATGTTCTTCTTCCACCCCAATGCTTCCCTATTTTGCACATGTAACTGATTTCAGGTAGGCCATTTAGATTAAAGTGTTAAACCATATATCCTGTGGGATCAGTTTTAATTGTATGTAGTGATGGATTCTTTCAACATGATGAGCTACTAGCTTCCAGTTACACTTACTGTACTTCTTGCTTTCCTTTCCTTTTGTGTATTCCCTCCTCCTATGTCTTACCTTTCTCCTTAACATTTTTTTTTTAATTATTTATGTTATTTCATGCAGCACATGCAAACTACAACTGGCTTATGTTGAGAATTCAGTGTATAGAAAGCTGTTATTTGTGGAGGCTTCATGTTAGTCCCTACCAGGTCAGGACTTCACAATGAGATTGATGGTTGTGTGAGGGGATGGGTATGCTAAAGGTAAAAAAAGTGTAGAAGCATTTAGGCTTCAGGGTTCGCTAATACGCATGGGGATGGGTAGATGGAAAGGGAAGTGAGTGAAGGAAAAAGTTGAGAGCAGGACAAAAAAATACTATAGGCTATTGTGCATTATGCAAGGGAATAAAGGAATTTCTCTACTCTTCCAGCAAAAGGTAGGGAGAGGTCATCTTTTCCCCAGGTAGTGGCAAACCCGCAACTGATTATAGTGGACAATACATCAAAGAGTATGGGATGTATTAGGGTCAAAAGATAAAATTTAAGCCAGAACAGAAAGGAGATAGCAGTATGCCTCTGATTGGGCATCACTCTGAGGGTATCCAGCTTACTGGGACACATTGCCTAGGGGTGCACACCTGGACCTGCAAAGTCCAAGGGAGAGGAAATAAGCCATACAACTGGCAGGATACCCCTCTCAAACTTCCATCTCCCGGCCCGGCTGGATTTGCAGATGGGTGGCTTTCCCAGAGACGCTTACATGTGAGAGGAGAAAATCTGAAACTACTCTTTTTTCCTTTTTTTTTATATTCAAGTTTTAAGTCACTTATATGGGGTTTTTTAATCACTGTATTTCAGCAACTGACTCATAAGTTTTGCAAGTTTGGGATTGCTGTTTCTGTTTATGCTAGCTTCACTTTTCTCATTGCGAAGTTAACTACAGAGTTATTTACATTTTTACTAATTCCTAACTTTCCAGATGTCAGTTAGGTTAAATTTTGGGGGGTTGTCCTATTTTCCCCCTGCATTAGTAGCTCTGTGAAGCTTTGAAAAAGCTGGGTATAGAGTTTTTGAAAAGCTGCTCTGTGGAATTTTTTTCAGTCATTCTACATGGCCACAGTATTTATTTGAAGCAGTAAGCACCTCTCAGCAGTTTTAAATCATGGCATCAGGTGAAATCAAGCAGCAAAGAGCCTTGATAAAATAAAATGTTTCTGTGAGGTTTCGGTCAGTGATTACTTTAGTTGCACAATGGAAAGTTCTTTCTTGCTTTGCAGTGTATAATTAGAAGAAGAATGACTTTTGAAATACTTCTATGAAGGGGAGTGTAAACTCCAGTAGCTTGATGACAGGACAAAATCTTATTATTGCAAATTCTTCTGCTTGGTGAAGTTTAACGGAAGACTGTGCAGTTGCTTTCTAAGGGATAATAAGATGTACTCATTCTGCAAAGACAGTCTGTTCCCCACCAGGCAATTACTGACCCTTTCATCCCACCTGAAGAGAAGCTTTTAAATTAGTTGAAGATGTACTCAGAATCTAAAATCCCTCTGTCATGAGGGTTTTCATCAAGAGTGCTGCACTTAAACAACATTTACTTGCTTTCTGAGACTGGGCTGAAATGTTTAATCTTGAATCACTTATGCAAAGCGTACTGGTTTGTCAGAGAGACTATAATTTCTCCTATGTGATTTTGATGCTTTAATTTGTGTTTGAGACTCTTTGTAAGCCTGTCAAGACTAACATTGACGTCCTACTTTTTGGATTTTTCAATTTGGTAATAACAGTAATTTTTCCTCCATATTGAACTTAGAGTTATGTATCCATTTAAAACAACAATGAGGGGGGGTTTTTTTGAAAGAGAGGAAAAACTCCTGTATTTCTGTACGTAGAGTTCTTTTTACATACACACAAGTATTTTTACTCAACACATTATCTAAGCTTTTCCTCTGTAAACTGTGAAAGGGAATAAGCTGGCAGTCCTCAGCAGCTGCTGATGTAATGGATATGGTGGAAAATGTTTGAGTCTGTCTATTTTTCATACACATAATTACTTTACCTAGGATTTTTATTCATTAAAGTTCCTGTCGTGGTTTCAGCCCAGCCGGTAACAAAGGACCACGCAGCCGCTCGCTCACTTCTCCTGTCCCCCTCCGGTGGGATGGGGAGGAGAATCAGAAAGGAGAAAAGAAAAAAGAAAGAAAGAAAAAAAAAAAAACCGAACCCCCCCCCCCCCCCCCAACTGGAACCTCGAGGGCTGAGATAAGGACAATTTACTGGGACAGCACAAAAAGAGAAGTTACAACAACAACAACAATGGTACTAATGAAAGAATATACAAAAAGAGTGATGCACAGTGCAACTGCTCACCACGCGGAAGCCGACGCTCCGCCACTTCCCCACCGAAAGTCGAGAGCACCCCCCAGCCCGCTCCCATATATATACTGAGCATGATGTCACATAGTATGGAATAGCTCCTTGGCTAGTTCAGGTCAGCTGTCCCGGCTATGCCCCCCACCTCCCAGGTTCCTGTAAAAATTAACTCTATCCCAGCTGAACCCAGGACAGTTCCTTAAGAATTGTTACCTCAGGCAGCAGTACAAATCATTGCTGTCTGGTTTACCAGACTTGGGAGGAGCAGGGGGTTTTGTTAGCTGCCTCTGTTACTGACGAACAAAAATCTCCAGGCGTTCATGAAAGTCCCAAATTTTTCCCCTCTCCTTTTCTTCTCCTAAGCCCTTTTACATTAATTTAAGATTTTTAAATAAGCATATAGCTTTACTTTTTCAGAAGTAGTATATTCTAAAGGTTTACTCAAAGATGTTAAAAGAGACTTCCGACACAATCTGTCCTTCAAAATAAAAGCCAAAGTTTTCAATTACTTTCACTTCCGATAATGTCACCAGAGCAGTATGGTATTTGGATTTTATGGGAGTTGTCTGTACTGGGAAACTTGTTCAGTGTAAATTAATTTCAGTGTAACTTTATTGATGTTGGAAGTGCATTTCAGCTGGTTTCATCTGGCTTTTCTGGAGGTTTATTTAGCTGACCCCAAAAAGCTTCTGCATTAAGGTAGACAGGGTCATGGTTAGAGCTTAGGTCACAGAGTCAGGACTTCTGGGCCATTGCCAGCTGTGCCGCTGGCTGTTCGTGGTGCTGAGCAAGGTGCGTGCGCTCAGGTGTGATGCTCGGGAGCATCTGCTGAAGTGCTGAGGCCCGAGAGGGCTACAACCCTGTGGGCAGTCGTGGTCCTTGGCTGCCAGGAGGGGGAGGCTTCTGTCCTCCACCTTGCCTCTTGCCACGTTTTGCATCCTGTCATGTGTCAGCTCTGAAAATAGCTGGTCCTTATTGGAGTTGCTACAGCTCAGTAACGCAGCAAAATACTACCCCGTTGTTAAGTTTTTCTTGCAGTGGGATATGGGTTTTGCAACGTGTAATTACTTCCCTATTATTACTCACATAAGTACCACCAGTATATATTGGAAGCGGTAGCTGGGCACACCTAGTAAGGTTTTTAGAAAGAGGCTTGGAGTTTGAGGTATTATCACAGTGCTAAAAATAAAGAGAAGATACAGGAGAAATGAAATGCAAGTGGATAATTATGTACTTGAGCTCAGTCAATTTTTTTCTCTTTTGTCGAGTTGGCATTTGAATTACCTGCTCTGTTCAGGAATATAAATCACTCTGTTGTGGCCTTTACATTCTAATTTAAAATCTTTTCCCTTGTTTCTCAAGATAAGCTTTTTTTTTTTCCTCACAGCTTTTCATAGGTGAAAGAAAATGATGGAAGAGAGTGGAATAGAGACAACTCCACCTGGCACACCCCCACCAAGCACAGCAGGGGCTGCTGCTGCCACTGCTACACCTGTCTCATTAGGTACAGAAACTTCCTCAGCAACTTGGGCATGTTTATTCATGTCTTTTGAAGCACAGCAATTCATCCAAAAACATTGCAATCAGCATAATTACAGTGCTCCTCTCCAGACTAATTGGAAGAATTTAAATTGTTTTTTAATCATGGAAGTGTGCTTCTTATCTGACATGCATCTGACATGCAGAATATTTTAAACATTTTTTTATTCTTGAAACTTTTTTATGAAGTCATGTGGATGCACTTATGTTTTTTAAGGATGTGGGGCCAGGGAAATAATGCCTTCCACTACAGCGCACAGTTAGATGAGCAGCATAGGAGGGAGTTAAAAACAAAACAAATTTAGTCTTGTAGGGGAGAGTGTAAACCTGGATAATCACTTGGTTTTTAATATTGTAGGTGGTAATCAAAGCACTTTTTCTGATTTTTGAAAAATCTGAACACCATATTCTCAATAGCAAATATTTAATTTTCTGACATATCTAGTTTTGTTATCTTGAGTCACACTAGTGCAGTGGACTCCAAAGTGGAGTGCCCTTATCCCAGGGGATGTGCAAGGCAATCCATTGGGGTGAGGGAACAAAACATTAGAACTTCCATTAATATTTCTTTTTATCTAAAAAATAAGAAGGAAATTAAGCTTCACTAATATTTAATATACTGCTTGATGCTCATCTCCTCACTCAGTTGGTCCATATGCCAGATATTCACATGTCCTGAGAGAAGAGTGGGTGTTCCATGATGCAAAGGGGTTCACAGTAGCACCCTCACTCGTTTGCTCACTTTCGTCATATTGCGATGCCTTGCAGTTTGTGTGCCTGCTTGAGTGGATTTATGGGTTATGTTATCTAGTTTTAACTATACTAGCCCTCACAAAATGGGCAAGTGACTTAAAAAAGATTCCTGCAAAGAGACCATGGATTGAAAATACTGCTAATAGTGTAAGCATAATCCAACAACAAGAAAATGGAAGAGTTGACGCTTCTCTGCCTCCTAGTGTGAGCTCTGTACCATTGTTTTTACCTTGTAATATGGCTAACGATCTAATTGGATCTGACAAACAGTTGACCAAAAAAATTTCAAAATTTTCAAGAGGACTATTTGAAATATAAATTTGCATCCGCCATTGTTAACGATGAACATTGCCCTAAGTGCATTGTTGTGCCTTGAGATAATTAGCCAAGGCTAGTATGAAGCCATTAAGATTAGCAAGACATCTAAAAACTAAGCAGAACGTACATTGGGGAAACACTTGTTCTTCTTAACACGGTAAAAATGTCTGAAATAATACATGGAAAACAATATGGTGACAAACTGAAATGCATTCATCAGCAAGTACTGTAGGAAGATGCAGAGAAAGCATCACTGAAGAAATAAGTATTAGAACAAATGACACAAATTAGTGTGGGAGGTTTGCTATCCGGTTGCCTGAAAGTACAAATGTTCCTAACATGTCTCAGCTTATGGTTTTTTGCTAAATTCTGTTTCAATAATAAAATACCCAAAGAATTACTTTATTGTCAAATGCTAAAGGAGGGCTGTGCTGGAGAAGGTATATCCTCAACAGTAAATTACTTATTTAATAAAAGCAATGTATTTATTAAAACTGTGTAACTTTAACCACTGATGGAACAGTTGATTTGACTAGGATAAAAATGGATTCTGGAATAGGGTTACAGAGATACCACCACACTTGAAATTTATTCACCGCTTCATTCATAGGCAAGCTAGTGCAGCAAAGAAACTGGAGCCAGAAATGCACAAAGTGCTACAAGATGTCATCAATGTGTTTAATTTTATAAAAATGGTCTTTAAATAGTAGATTTTTTTTTTATCAATACTTTGTAGGGAGATAGGGAGTGACCATGAAATTTGTTTGTATCACACAGAGGTTTGCTGGGTGTCATGTAGCAAGGTGTTTGAAAGAGTTGTTGAACTTAAAGATGACATGAATGTTTTTCGTTTACAAAAAGACAAGTATCCCAGGTTTGCTGGCATTTTCTGTGATGACAAGTGGCTGTCAGCCTAGTAGATGTTTTCAAAAAAATATGCACTCATAATTTGTCACTTCAAGGTAAAGATGATGTTCTAACAAGGAGTGCTACAGTAACAACTTTTTGTAAGAAAGTCATGCTTTCCAGAGAGCATTTTGAAAATTGGTATTTGGAAATGTTTCCATCATTATGCAATCCTGTTGCCAAAAACAATGCAAGTGTACGTATAAAACCTGTCAGATCTGTACACATAAACTTGCAAAGATAATTTCCTGACTTGTGTAAAAATCTTCCCAACAAAGAGTTCCAGTGAAGGATTTTGAACCCATTTGTTAAAAATATGGAAGTGTTAACACCTTCTGATTAGTTTGCAAGAGCAATTGACCAACATCGGGGAAGATGGAAATTTGCTAGCTGAATTTCAAGAAAAACCTTTGCATAATTGGTGGGTGCGAGTGGAAGACAAATAGCATGATTTAGTAAGCAAGCACAGCCAATAACGTACTACTTCCATTTGGATCTATGTATCTTTGTCAGGTATCTTTTCAGCTATGACAGCCATTACAGCCAAGTATCCAACTAATGTGAACATAGAACCAGACCTTCAAACTGCAGTATCATGAGGTGTTAAACCAAGATTTAACAAATAATGAGGCTTCTTCAATCACATTGCTTATACTAAAAAATGATTAATAATTGTATAATATAGTATGTTAATCATTATTAACATATTATGTTATTTTATTAATAGTATATTAATAGAACTTTTCAGTGGGAGAAGTTTTTGTACTGTTAATAAATAAAAATGATTTTTAATTTTTTTCATTCATCTTTATCTCATCCATTTTATATTTCTATTGTGTGTGTTTTCTACTATACATAATATACTAGTACAGTGGTACATGTAAATAAAAAATAAATATATATATGTTGTGGGGGTGCATACTCAAAAATTTTTTATGGGTAGGGGTGTGCAATAAAATTTGGAGTCCACTGCATTAGTGCAACTTAGCATATCATTTGACTGTCATTGATATTTAGGTTGAGGCCAGTGAGATGCTTGAGCTGATCCAGCAGCTTACTGCTATCAAAAATGGTCATTTCTGTTTTTCTGACTTAATTCTCTGCCTAAACTTGGTGTAGAGAGCAATATTAGCTTATCCAAGGATCAGCTGAGGGCCACACTGAAATAGAGGAAGCAGACAGATTAGGAGGCTGGGTGCTAAGGAAGAGAGGACTGCCTGGTGTTCAGCCTGTCTTGTAGAACCATACCTCTGAAGTAACTCCTGCCTTCCCAGATATTATGAGTGTATGTTTTATTCTTAAAGATGGGCACTTCCTGCATCATCATCATTCCTGTTGATTAAGCAGTTGCTCAGAAAGAACAGTACTAGCTAGAAATGTCTGAGGCAGACTTCAGCTGCTATAAATTCAGTAGTAAAACATTGACTTGCCTTTTTAAGCTTATGACAAATAGGGTCATGCAAAAAAAAGAGATGTGGCTTACCAGATACTATCAGCAAAAATTGAGCACAATTGGTGTTGTATGCAAACTCAAGCAGAATTAAAATTCACTTTGAAGGGAAAAAACCAGACCAGGTCAAAACTTACTTGTAAAATATCTGAACAATTATATAACTGAATCTCTGAGATTAAGGCTCAGCATTTCTAAAATTCCTTTTTTCTCATTTTTTTCTAGCTTTGTCCAGTCCCCTTGCAACACAAAGCATGTCATCTTCTCCTGCATACTCACCACCCTTGCCAGCTGGAGTGTCTCCACTTCCTCCTCCTATGATGACTTCAGCTTCTCTTCCACTTGTGCCTTCTGCAACGGTTTCTACTATTGCACCACCTCGAACTCCTGCCCCACCTCCTGTTGCCTCTTCAGCTTTTAGTACCTCTGTGTCCCAGTTCTCTACATCTCTTCCATTAAGCTCTACTGCTGGCCCTGGTCTTCCTGCACCTCCCATTGGTCCCCCCATTTCAGGATTTTCTGTGTCTTCAACCTATGACATTACCAGAGGTCATGCTGGTCGAGCACCACAGAGCCCACTGATGCCATCATTTTCTGCACCTCCAGTCACAGGTAAGTTTTTGTTCATATGCTTTCATGTTTGTGAGACAGGATGAGGGATCTCCTGGTGGCTTTTTCCACCACTCTGCTAGAGTTCTGCAAGTTCAGCTTCTTTATTATTCCAGGTACACTTAATTAATGTAGCTGCATTCAGAAGAAGGGAGAGTAACCTTTAAAATACAGTCATGGTCTAGGACAGAGAGTCCTCTTTAGTAGAGTTCTCCTAGCATTCAGGCTCACAGAAAAATCTTTGGGAGCTTTATTTTTTGTTAACTTGCACAGGACAGCCCAGCTGAACCTATATACATATCTTTTGTTTAGATCAGAGAGTCAACTTCAGCCATGATATTCCACAGAATGATGTGATACTTCAGGCTGTAATCTCATAATTTTCAGGTTTTGTTCTGAAAAACTATCTATAACAAGCTGTTCATCACATGACACCAGCTTCTATTTTCTTGTTTCCAGCTACTAAATTGCATTAGGACAGCTAAAAATACATACCTTCCATGCAAGCAATTGCTGTAGTTGCTGAACTGATGTAATTTTCTGCTAGTGGAATGGAAACTTGGCTTTTCAACCATAATTGGGCCAGGCCTTTACTATTACTGGTGATACCTCTTTTAAGTAGTCTGTATTAGGAAAATGTCTAGAAAGACCTATCAATTGTGCAGTGTAAAATAAAAATAACTCTTGATTAAGGCTAGTGTTGGAGAATCGGTTAAAATAGGCTTGAGTAATGGGGCAAAGGCTCATGCTTAAATTTTCTGCTGTTTGAGTTTCTTTTGTTTTCCTTTAAAATTTGTAAGGCTATTCATTCGCTTGCTCCTTTTTCTGTTCCTACTAATTTCCAGCACTCAGGGTTAGAAAATTTCCTACTTCTCTCTCTTTTATTATGTGTGAGAACATTCCTATCTCTTTGTTTAGAGAGCAACACCCATTCCTCTTTTTCCTTTACTGTGGGCTGCTTATGAAATTTTGAATGCAGTAAAAAGCATGACTGTTAAACTGACCTGCTAAGAAAAAAACATGTTTAATTTTATACATAATGTACGGCAGTCTCGGTTCTGTCAGCAGATATTGTTGAACTCATGCACAGTAGTTATATCTACTAACCTTTAACAAACTGAATTGTTCTGGGGCTTTCAAGAAATGAAGTGAATCAGCCCAGTATTCTTCTATTCTTCCTGCTCATTTTCCTGTTGAACAATTGCATGTTGCTACAGTGTAACAAGTTAAATGCAGTAAAATAAGTGAACACTTGTGTTTTATTTTTGCCTCTTACTAGGTGTTTTGGCAGATCCTATTACTCAACAAGCAACTTTCTCATCACCTTTGGCTCCTGGAACTGGTTCTGCAATCACTTTTCCTGAGGAGCGTGAAGACCCCAGAGTATGTACTGCCCAAGGTGGAGCACCTGCTGGAGGACTGTGGGGGTTTATAAAGGTATGGGGTTTTGTCTGTTACCATTTTTTACTGACTATAATAAGACGTATCTTATTTTTTAAATGCATATTGCTATAAATCCTGTCTTTTCTCTGGCCTCGTGCAAGGTGGCTGGTTTTAGTAGTGGTGTTTGCTGAAACTATGCTTTTGCTCCTCCTCTCTATAGAGGAGGGAGGACTACACAAATGCAGATGTTCTAGGTTAATCTTAGTGCTTGTGAGAGGAAGATATGCATACCTAACAGATCCTGTCACGTTCTTAAATTAGGTGAAGATTTAGAACCTCTTTAAGACCTGAAAGCTAATTTTTACTTAAAGGCAACTGGATGCAGAAAAAGTCTGTTTTATCTCACCAGAATTCTTTGTATATCCCATTTCTTTATCATTTCCTAATGAAATGAGTTTGATTTCTATAGGATGCAAGTCTTGCCTGTTCTATAACAAACCAACCTCCTCAAGGAGAGACAAATACATGTTTTTTCCACCAAAGAACAGTTTACCTAAGAAGTGTCTAAGATATTTTGTAGCATTTTTCTATTCACCTAGAAGGCATGGATTATATCGTGCAGAACAGATACTCCTTGTGGTGCGATCTAATCATACAGAGGAAATAAGCAGCAACATAAACTAGTAGAATATCATTAGCCTGTAACCTTTTTGGAGCTGTGACAAACGCTACATACAAATAGCATCATGAAGATTGTGGCAAAAAGATCTAAGCGTGCATGAATGCTGAACTGTCTTCAAGGGCAACGCCATATTCTGTACTGTCTCATACTAAATGTGAAGGAAGAATCAAGAAGACTGATGTTCCAGTGGGACTGCTGAGTTTTGGAGGGACTTTCAAGCCCTTTTGAACATGGAAAGCTAGGAGAAAAAGTTGTGTGTGATATGGCAGACTGAGCCCTCCCTTACTCCAGGAATATACATCTTGACAGTAATACATTCTTAAAAAGCAACATTAATCCTCCATCAGTCCTGTGAGAGCAGAGTTGTCATGCTGCCCTTTTCAAGGAGAGCTGCCTCTCATGATCATAAAAACACATTTTCTTTCTTCTTTTAAATAACATCAGCCTTCTCTCAGTCATCATATTCCTCTTAATGTTTGCAATAGACAGTAATGTTCCAGAAGAGAACATTTTTCTTGTAACATGATTCTGTAGCCCTTTTTAAAGTGCCAGAGCTTGCAGTTGCAAATTAGTTGAAAAGCCAATCTCATCCACATTACTGTTGCCTTTACACCAACAGGATCCAAAAGGTGTTTGTATTTATGGAGAAGGTCTTTATCACTGACTTCAATGATAAATTCTAGATTTTGGTTGAAGTATTAAGTGTTCCATGTGCTCTGTGTGTTCAGTGACCTCTTTTTGAGAATTTCCTAGGTGGAAGAATGAGGAATCATTAATTATACTGAAGCCATCAAGTTCTTGATATTTGTAAGCACACATCAGACTCTGTGTTTTTTAAAGATCAGCCAGAATCTGGGAGACTAACTGGTAATTATTACAGAAATGCATACCGGATTCCCTGCTGAAGAACTTACACAGCAGTTGCAGCAGTTACCTTTATTTCTATTCTTGAAGTAGTTTGAACTACCCTCTTTCCTCTAGTGTTCTTAAGAAATCATACACTTTTCTTCCATATTTCCTTCAAGCTAGATAATATCCAAGACTGTGACAATCTAAAATTGACAAATTAATGGTTTAGAATTGAATGAGATTGTTTCAGTTCCTTTGATCTGTCAAAGATGGCTGAGCAGTCTTTTAGCAGTTCCAAGATTGGTTTCTACATAATATATTTGCAGTCATGTATATTTGCAGTCATTGCACCTGACAGCTTGCATATTTGTCTGTTTGAGCAATGAAGACAGCCAGGACCTGAATATTCAAAAGCTTTGTGCTTGTGCTCTGCTGACGTGGAAGATTCTCCATTTGAGCAATTTGGATTTATGTTGACTTAGAATTGACTCGGTAGAAATTCCAAACGTAACTGCATTATGGTACACAGTGTTGTGGTAACTTCATGTTTTGCATTGGTATAAAACTATGGATTATTTCTCCCTGCTTGTGCTACGTTGGTCAACTTAAAGGCATCTTCCATAGGCAGAGGAAGCAGCTTCTTCCTACTCGGGAACCTGATTATCTGCAGGAGATGTATAATGACTTTACGTTAGATAAGTAGCCAGGCTGCTGATAGGAGAAGTACTGCTTGGCTTTGCATTACCGGAGAGATACTAAAACTGGAAATCCCAACTTAAAATGTTTCTGAGGAACTCAGTTTTTATTAAAACAACAGACAATCTTCAAATTGTTAGAGAGATGAAGGAGGAGTATAAACTTCCCTGTTCTTGATGGCATCCTGTGGGTACATGAGTAGTCATAAGAGTATGCGTATTAGTCGGTGAATGCAACTGTTCAGAAAAGTCTTTTGGTATATTCATAAGAAACAAGTGGCTACAGTGGGCTCTGGCTTGAAAAAGCTTAATTGTGCTGGAGTGAGTAATTGTTTTGTTTTCTTTACCAAATTCTACAGTTAGGCTTAGTGCTTTGCACAGTGGTGAGAAGAGTACCTGAACCCAGTAATGAACTATTTCAGCATGAAGCATAGGATAAGATAGTCATTCTTAGTAGCTATATAGTATCTCAGTAGTTGTAGAAGTGTGGGGTTTTTTTCTTTGTTAAGCTTGCTACAAAGATAATAGAAAGCATTCTAATGTTGGATGGGGCTTTGAGCAACCTGTTCTAGTAGAAGGTATCCCTGCCCATGGGGATTGGAACTAGGTGATCTTTAAGGTCCCTTCGAACCCAAACCATTCTGTGATTTATGGGAAAGAAGCTTTGCTGAGCAAAAGTTATTCTCAGGTAATTAAAACTACTCTGATTCTGCAGTTCTCTGAAGTACTGTGTTGAGTGTATTAAGCGAGCACTTCCCAGAAAAACGTATGCACACAGTGCTGTCCTAGGTAAAGCTTGTCATTTAGTGAAACAAATACAAGCATAAGCAGTTTTAATATTAGACTGAAAGCAGTCTGTTTACTAAAGAAATTTTATAAAAGGTTTCTGTAAAATAGTTTCCAGTGCTTTATCTCAGTGATTCAGCATTGGTATCTTCTTTCTTTCACCCTATGATCTCATCTGAATTTAAATAAACTTTTGACAAGATACAGACATTCATTAAGGCTATTTGCAAGACACAGGACAGTGTTTGTGTTTATATTTAATGAACTTTTAAGTCTGTCAGCAGCTCCACCTATAATTTGGCTGGAGAATGTAGAACATTTTTCCAGCAGTGCTTAGAATCTATTTATAAATTGAGGACTTTGACCTCAATTGCTCTAGAAATACTTGTTAGTAATGGGTCATTCAAAAATAGATCCTATCGTCTTTATGAAGTTTAGAAAAGAGAGACTCTTCAGCTTGAGTTATCACAGTCTAAATCTAGCTACCTAGTCTGATGATACCTATAGTTAGCATTGGGAATCTACAACTTTGCTAAATGTTCAAGGCTTCCGGTCCCGGAGTAAGACTATATCAAGTGTGTGGCAGAAGAGTGTGGTAAAGATGATATTTGAACTTTATGTTGTAACTCTGAAGTCATGCACTGATAGTCATATCCTGTAGCGTTTGTGCTGAGGAGTGAGATACAATAAGTATAGTGTAAATCTGGTAAGAAAAACACAAAGCAGCTTAATATTTGGTTTTTGTTTGCTTGGGTTTTAACTGTAACATTTTGAGTTTCTTGGGGAAAAAAACAGCAGATAATATGGAAATCTATTTGCTTAAATTTAGGGTGTAGCTGAGAATCCCGTGGTGAAGTCTGTTCTTGATAAAACCAAGCATTCAGTGGAGACCATGATCACAACGCTGGATCCTGGCATGGTTCCATACATCAGTAAGTATTTGTGACAAACCATTAAGTAATACATGTATATGTTAAGAGGGGTTAATATAATAGCACACTGCTTTTACACTTGAAGTTTGTATATGTAATGTGTTAATTCAAAGTCACAATTCTGTACTGATTTCTCAAGTGTTTTGTCCAATGAAACTCTCACTCTGGAGGCTGACTTTTTATATGTGTCTTGAGGTTCATTTGACTTTTGTATTCTGCTGTAGTTCAGATAGTGGCATAGTAATAACCTTTGATTCAGATTGTGAAAGGTGAGGAAGTTATAAAGAAAAAAAGCAATGAAGAGATGTTGTCTATAATCCCTAAACTGCATACTGTTTTCTCTTACTCTGTCTCTATTTATGCCTTATGGAGTTGAGTTTAAAATACACCGTATGTTTTCTGTTGGATCACATGCTTAAATACTACTGTGCAAGCTATCACATTAAAGTTAAAACAAGCCAAAAGGGAGGCATACTCAGAGAGGCATAGGACAGAGGTAATTACATAGCTTTTGAGGCTTTCTTCTGACTTTCAGCTGTTTCACCTTTCTAGCCTAATAGTATTTATACTATTTTTAGGAAATTCAGCAAACTTGAAGCAGTTCCTCAGCCAGTTAGTAGGAACATTAAAATTCTAAAATGGTCTAATGAAGTCTGAAGTACTGCTGGACATTGAGCCTGGAAGGAAAAGCATAGCATTTCAACTGCATCTTGAAAATTAATAGGAAGGAGAAGCACTGTGGTATTCATCATTTCTTGTTTTACTGGAGTACATTGCATGTCACATATAACTGACCTGAGATTTCTACTTCATTAAAATGGGGAAGCAAAAGACAAAATTTATCTAGGGTGGTAGTTTGGTTTTCTGGGTTGTTGTTGGGGTTTTTTTGGTTTGCAGGGTTTTTTTTGGTTGGTTGGGGGTTTGGTATGGTTTGGTTTTGTTTGTTTGTTGTTTTTTGGTTGGTTTTTTTTTTTCTTCCAGCAGTCTGGTAAAGAGTCTTCCTCCTTAGCTGTGCCAGTACTGCCCTTTGTCTGCATGTAGGTGAAGCTGGTCAGGAAACTGATAAGGCTGAGAAGAAACTATTAAAATGTTTTCCCATTTTGTTTTTCTGAGCTGTTTTTCAGCTGGACCTATTCTGTGATCCAGCTAACCATGTTGCTGCACTATTTTACTAATCCAGTGGACAATATGTGGAATAAAAGGGGAAGATGACCTAATTATTGACTAGTAGTTAATTGTCCTACATTTAAGGGAAAATATCCCAGCAACTGACTAGTGAGGAGGTAGTGGGATTTGACATTGATGAGAAGGCCAGCCAGCAACTGAGAAAGTATTTGAGAGGACTAGTGGGATGCAATGCAAAGCTACAGTAAATGTTGATCATGCAGAATTTAGTGAACTGTATTTAAGGTTTCTATTGCAGTCATGACCATCCCTTTTTAAAATAGGATCTGTCAGTATCCAATGACAGTTTGGATAGTTTGACACAGTATTCATGGGACAGAACAACATTACCTAGAGGAGAAAGTAATTCTAATACAATGCTTTGCTTGTAAGATTCAGTTAGTGTAAGCAAATTCAGTGGTTATCTCAAAGTTCTCTGAAGTCATGTTGGAAGGAAAGCATCTGTATACATCTTGGCCATTAATATATTGCATTCTTTTTTCTAGTTGCAGGTTGTGGAAATGGGGCAGAGATTTGTAAATTTAGTATTTGCTTCCTTCTTGAAATGTTTTCTGATCAACAAAAGCCATGTCTGCCACAAGTGGCCCCACTTCTCTCTGCTCTCTCCCCACTGCTGCAATTCCAAACAAATTTCAGATTCCTCATGCCAAAGCCTGAAATTACCAAAGCTTCTGGATGAGGTTGTTGAATAATTTTTTTTTCATATGACCAAATAGTATTTCTGTAGTCTCTGTTGAAAAGAGCTGAACTGTTTTGGTTGGCACGTTGTGAAGATGTCATCTGAGGCAAGCACCTGGAATCAAAAATTTCTGTCTGCACAGGAAAAGGTCACCTTATAAGCATAAACGTCAATGCTTTTATAACAAAAGATGACAGGGAATCTTAAATTGTATGTGGAACTGTCATTTCATTTTATAATACACAGGGTGTAATCAAATTTCATGTTCAAGTGTTAAAGCCTAACTTAATGTGACAGTTCTGTCTCTGAATTTACCAGAGTATGTCAATTCTTATATTTTAGGTTTTAATATTTCCATATTGCCATAGAGTGTGACAGATCTTGTCACAAATTGTTTCTTTTTAATGCAATGTAGTATCTGTGATGAACACAGATGTGCTTTTGAGATATGATGATCCTTAATACAAAAGAACATAATCTGTATTATGCTGTTGCAATACACAAACATGGGGCACAGCTACCTTTCTTAAGTTACTATGCAGTAATTTACTAGGTACATTATGGGTTAGTTTTTAGTTGCATTAAAAACTCTTTAATAGTTTTTCTATCCCTAGGCACTCAAACAAGACTTCAGCAAAAGCCTGCTTTCAATTTTAAGAACTTGTTTACTTATGTTGACTTGATTTCTATCAAGAAGTCATCAATGAAAAAAGATACTCTCCCTAATTTTTTAGTCCGTTGTTAGCCAGTGTTTAGTGTTTAAAACAGTTGCCCAAATTCAATGATGTATATACCCAATTCCATTCAGTAAAGCAATTGATAAATAAAAGGTTAAAAAATAGCCTAAAAACCAAATAGAATGTTTTACTACTGTTCTGGCATATGTCTGGTGATTCTTTATAAAAAGATAATGTTTCCCATAACTGACATCTGCAAAGTAATACGAGCCAAAGAATAAATTGTTCTTTTCTTTAAAATTTAAGCTTCAGGCTTTTTATCAATGGAGCAATTTTTCTTACATCGGGATAAATACTGCAGACTTTGGCAGCATGTGTAATTAGGTGGGGTGTTAGTGTTTAGAAGCAAAACCACCAGACTCTGTTCTTTTTTTCTTTCAAGAGGTAGCTTAACGTGGTTTTGTACAGTCAGCGGGCCTGAAAAATGACAGGTTAAAGGGCTGTTTCTTTACTAGTTTGCTACTGTTGTCATAAGAAATGCCCTGTTGGATCACAGAATCACAAAGTGGTGTAGGTTGGAAGGGATATCTGGAGGTCATGTTGTCCAACCCCCCTCCTTCAGCAGGGCCACCTAGAGCCAGTTGCCCAGGACTGTGTCAAGGCAGCTTTTGGGTATCTCCAAGGATGGAGACTCCACCACCTCTCTGGGGAACCTGTGTCAGTGCTCAGTCACCCTCACAGTAAAAAAGTTTTTCGGGATGTTCATATGGAACCTCCCGTGTTTCAGTTTGTGCCCATTGTCTCTGGTCTTGTCAGCGGACACCACTGGAAAGAACCTGGCTCCGTCCTCTTTGCAGCCTCCCTTCAAATATGTGTACACATCAAAGATCCCCCTGAGCCTCTTCTTCTCCAGGCTGAACATTCCCAGCTCTGTCAGTCTTTCCTCATAGAATAGATGCTCCAGTCCAGTGGTTCATCTAGCTCAATATTCTGTCTTCAGCAGAAGCAAGAGGAGATGCTGTATGGTAAATGACAGTAGATCTGGTGATTTCTGTAGTCCTTTCTCCTTGTACTCCTCCATCATCCACAGCCATTGGACTAAGGATGACAAGAGGCATGACCATGGCTATTGCTTCTAGTGCCTGCTTGTGGGCATGTTGTCCAGTAATTTATCCTTTACACTTGCTGATGCAATTTACGTATGCAGCTTTCTCTGATGTCATATTCCATGTCTGAAAAAGGTTTAAGCTGTTCTTAAGAAAGCTTGTCACAGCAGGGACAAGTTTTATGAAAGGGTTTTGCATAAATTGTTTGACAATAAAAATGATCCAGCTGTGATAAAGACAGATGTGAGGTATAATTGAACTTATCAATCTTTTGTAGTAATTTTAGATTTCTTTTAATTCATCAACTGTTTTGTTTTATTCTAAAAAAGCTTAGTGAGAACTCATCCTTCTTTATGGAGATACCACCATATGGAAATCATTCAGAAATACTTACAACTTTCTGGTTCCATAGATATTTAATGTCTAAAAACAGGATAAAGCTGTAGGGACACAGACAGGCAATGAAATGACACTGAAATTCACAGTCCAAGGACAGCTAGAAAGTAATGTGAGCCTTTCTTTTAAAGCTTACATAATTTGACAGCTGTTCACTGGATTTTATGAACTGCATCTGTGTTCTTGGTCCCTTTCATAAGGAAGAGTTTGTGTGGCACACAAACATTTCTTACCACTTCCCGGAACACTAAAACATCCTTAGAAATGGACGTCTGAGTTATTCTCCTAAATCTATGAATTATCATCTTAAATGAGTGATACGCTTTTTTTTCAGGTGCTGAACAACCATCAGTTCCTCTTGTCTGTCTTTCATCCATGAATCACTTAGCTATTCATCTAACTTTTACTTCCTAACTTAAATTACTTCTGCTTCATAAAAAGAACTTTTTTTACAGTGCATGAGAAGAAGACCAATTGAAGCATACTGTTAAGATGTAGAATGTATTTGAACTAGCTTATAATGGGAATGAAGAAAAATATATGCATATGTATATATGTATTTTACAGAAACTGGGGGAGAACTGGACATAGTGGTTACTTCTAATAAAGAGGTAAAAGTCGCAGCAATTCGAGATGCCTTTCAAGAAGTCTTTGGAATGGCTGTTGTTACTGGAGAGGCTGCACAGTCTAACATTGCACCCCAACCTGTGGGCTATGCTGCAGGTTTAAAAGTAAGTTGATATATAACAGTACTAAAGTACCTCCAGTGAAAAGAGAGAGTGTGGAAACCTTCGCCCAGAAGAATCTGAATTTCCATAAAGAGGAGGTCAATTTGTGGGATAGATAAACATTTCATTGTTTTAGAAAAAAAATTGCTGTCTGGGTCATTAGATAAGTTTAAAGCTGCCTGTTTAAATAGTTTGGGGGTTTTTTTTGCAAACACATGCACAGCAAATGAAGAACATTTACGTCAGTTTTCTTGTACTGTCATTGATTGCCATCACTTCTAGCATATATTGTGATATTACTGTACTTTTAAAGTATATCAGGCATTTCTTCTTCATCTATTACCAGTACACCATGTTGGGAATGTTAGAAATTAAAAGACAGTCTTTGAGACTGAGTTGTCTCCCCACTAATTCTGTAGATCAAAGAAAGTTTGATCAACACTTGTCAGGCATCTTCCTGAACAGATCTATGTTACGTTTAAAAAGTAAGAATTCACCGTGCAGCCTTGCAGACAGCTGTGCCGGCCCAGAGGAAGAGTTAGCAAAGGTTGTTTCACCAGATTTTAAAAATGTACATGTTCGTCTGGTGTATCTATGTGCAACTACCTCCTTGGCCAATAACTAAAACCCCTGAAAACAACTATTTAGTATTCCGTTTCTTAAATGTAAGCAAATAATTTACTCATTAAAAAGGAATTCTTTTCTCCTAACTGCTGTGGCAATATTCAGAGCTAAGTAAAGCCTATCCTCTTAGCAATATATTAGCTGATAAAATTTTATGTTGAGATAAAGGAGGGTAATGTATATGTTCCTTTACCTGTTTAGCTACTACAGTGTAGCAGTAGTAGTATTTCTATTACAACTTCAGAGTGGTAACAGGTTTGGAGCAAATGATTCCTATGTCTTAGCTGGATAGGTACCACAACAAAGAGATTCTCTCCCTTGGTCTTACAAAGGTGGTCCAACGCTCTTAAAGGATCTAAACCCAACAAATCTTAAGCTGCAAAAATGTCAGTGTGAGTAACAGAAATATATACTAATGCTTTAACTAATAGTGAAACTTGACACAGTTACAGGTTAGGAATTCTTTGCATGCTAATCTAGGTCTTTTTCATGGAAAAATAACAAACTAAAAATATTTAATTAGTTTTATCATTACATTTTATTCATTACTGTTCGGGATTCCATTACAGCTTTTCATGAATTTCATTTTTTGTTTTTCTAACATCCAAATAAGAGTCATTATTCAAAATCTCTCATATTTTTTGTTTAACTTGAAAAGTGTGTTCTAGAGTTCTTTTTGCATTCATCTGTAGGCATTGTGCTATGCTGTGATTCAACGAGAATGTCTGATGGCTTATGTTACCATTTAGGGAGCCCAAGAAAGGATAGACAGCTTGCGTCGGACAGGAGTAATACATGAAAAACAGCCTGCTGTGTCAGTAGAAAACTTCATTGAGGAATTGCTTCCTGACAAGTGAGAACTTTAAATATATCCCTGTGGGAGGGGGAGGTGGGGAGGAATATTCTTTGTTGACTTGAAGGGGCCTATAAAGAGTTGCTGACAGTATTACTCTGAGCAGAAGAAAGGAGAGAGTCTGTCTTCAGTATTGTTTTGGCAGACTTGATTTTGGTGATGTTTGGCTTTTTGTCCAGACATCTTGAGACTTTAATATACAAAATCCTTGTCAGGTTTTTCAAGATTCACAATATAAAAACATAATGAAGTTATACTGAACTGACAAAATTAAGGCGCTGCAGAAGTTGGAATTTGGCTAGTAGTTTGCTCACTCTTCTGTGCACACTCTTTCTTCTCTTCCTCTGAAATTGTATTTGGTTCAGAAAGTATATTGGGAGATGTTCTGGCATTTACAGTAATATGACTTTATCAGTATATTATCTATTTTCCTTTCACCAAAAAGGTACTTAACATTTTTAATTTGCATTGCACAGACTTAACAATGGTGTTTTCAAATACGTTACAATTTGATTTTGTAACATGCTTTTTGACAGTCCTTGAAGTAGCTTTATAATTAAATTCCAAAACATTAAGGACAATGTTGTGTTTTTCTTAATGCAAAATTAAATAGTTCTTTTCTAATGTTTGCATTTTTGTGCATGTGATGGGCTTTCATTTATTTTTTTGACACATACACTGCTCTTGCTCCATTTTTGAAGGTACATTTAGTATCCTTAGTGGAAGATGGATGGTGAATTTTCTGAAGTAAATAGAACTAGGAAGCGCTTTAATTTTTATTGAGCATTTTTTTCCATCTATTCTGATTTAGATGTTTTATTATATTTCTGCAAAGGAGTAACTATGACAATGAGATCTCTGCTTCAAAATAATTGCTGTTCTTGTCCTTTGAATTTACTCATTCCTAAATCTGAAAATGTTCCTTAAAGTACGCAACATGAAAAAGCTCACTCAGGACTACAGTGTTTTTGAAAGGAATGCTAACTCTTCTGTCCACACATTACAGGCCCCAAGAACATCTTGATCTTCAATATTAGTTGCAGTAGAAACAGAGTAACTTAATGCATGCTTTAATTTTTATTCAGTAGACAACATTGAAAGCTTCCTTGCAAGGTGTTACAAAAAACATTTGAACTATTTTTGGCCCCTGTTTTTTTTGCAGTGGAATGATAGGTCATGGTGCTAGTAATTGATTAATTATTATTCTGAAGTGAGCATTGTGGTGTTACAGTTCTAATACAGGGGACGCAGTCAGTGTTTTGCTGATACTGTTTACCATACTTACTCATGACGGAAGGAGAGGAGTTTCCAAGTAACCACCCACCAATACTAAGAGCTCTGCACCTAACACTTAATAGATCAGTCACTGCTCACAGCTAAACTTCTCAGTTGTCCATCAGACAGCTGAAGGACATTACTTCCCCTTCCTGTTGCATGTCCTGAATACTATTTGCAGAAAAGGTTGCAAACTCCTTTATGTGTATTTTACCCTTTAGACTCTAACTACTTTATTAATTGAGAGCAAGTTAACTTCAACCATGAAGCTTTCTCAACAGTCTTTTGTAGTTGCAAGTGAGGTAGTCCTCTATCACAGAGCATTCCAGAGCTCTGTTCCTCCCGACAAAGATGATGCAAGTGATGTACTTCTTCCTGTCTTGCTCCACTAAACTCTTAGTATGAAGCTTATATGGCCCAGCCAGTCGTTTCTTAAAATTGGAATCTTGCATTTCTTTTTACAACATCCTTGCTTCCCGTGCTTTAAAGAATAAAATACAATTTATATGTGGACATGTGTATACTACATATGAAACTACAACTACAATAATATTTTCCTTTTTAAATCTTTTATGATTCTTGGCCTTGATTTTGTGTTTGTACTTTCCCCGGAGTGTGTTTCTCCTGTAACTGTTACAGGAATTGAATACAGTGACGTAGTGATGATGCATTGCCCTTAGTTTTATTTGGATTATGTCAGTATTGTTAGTTTTGTTGATAGGGAGAAATGACTTTAAGTTTTTACAAGCTAGATAGGGAACCATTTTGGGTACTACTTCAATAGCCTTTACTGTATCTGCTACAGCAGGGACCACCTTTTCTGAAAGGTGCAGAAGTGTTTCTCTGAATAAACCATTGAAATGATTGTTGTAGGATTAGACATACCAGAAAAATCTTCTGAATATAGAACATGAATGATAAATAGATATTTATTTTTTTTTAATTGTTAGGGAAGGTTATCTTAATGAGAAACATTCTTTCAAAGATTCCATGAAAACTGTAGCATAATAAATATGGCCAGAAGAATGTATCTGCATACATGCCCACCCCATTACCTTTCTTTGTTTTTCTTTGATATGTAAGTTTCATGTATTTTATATGTTTTTATGTATATTATGTATTTTACATGCATAGACATGCACTATAGTTTTATATCTATTATAAAAGTTATATATACAAATTTTACTTGAAAAATACTAGAACACTTTGATTAAACTCATTATTACGTTATAACTACGTTTGTAGTAGTGTTTATAAAATGGTCATAATTCAGCTGCTAACATGTTTTTCAATTGAGTGATACTTAGTACTCAAAACTAAAGTAACTTGCACATCATTGCAGGTGGTTTGATATTGGATGTCTGATTATTGAGGATCCAGTTCATGGGATTCATCTGGAAGCTTTTACCCAAGCAACACCAGTGCCTTTGCAATATGTTCAGCAGGTGAGTTTTCAGTTTTGTTACCAATGTTGGATTAACAGTTGAGACATAAGACTTAAGTTTTAATTTCATTTATGATGTCAGTTCTTATTGGCAGGTAGTCCACTTGAATGTTTTAATTTATGAAATGAGGATAAAACCTATTTTTTAATCATGTTTATGTATTGCCTAAAAATCTTTAGGCATTTGTAGGAAAGCAATTCTTGATCAAGAGTCTCATTCTGCAATACATGGCACTTGGAAGCACTAGTTTTACTTTCCTGTTAATGAAAAGGAAATATTCCAAGAAGAAATTAACCACAAAGAAGTACTCCCTCAAAAAGGAAGTATAGCTTTAATCATTGAAATATTGTCATCAGTCTGGTTCAGTGACTCAAAATTAACGCTCATGAATCTTTACATAGGTAAAATAAGAATATTTCCTCAGGTGTGGAAGGAGGTCTTTGCAGCTTAAGTAGGTTTCTCTCAGGGGTGTGCAAGAAATATGTTTGTATAAATCCAGTCCAATATCTTTAAGCAAAATCTAGATTACAACAGGAAAAAAACGAGCAGTGGTATAGTTGTATTTCAGACTAAGAACAGAGAAAGAAGTATGTGTTGGACAGGCAATGTTATTTGTTATTCACAGTACAAAAGATTTAATAGAGGCAACATTAAAAGCAATTATGTTCCTCAGAATTCTTGCTAGCAATGTGTTTTATTGTTCTGTGTAATGGAAATAGCGGTAAAACTGTGTAGAAGAGATACTATTTTATTAATGTCTTTACCAATGGCATAGAGTTTTCTGAGCATATACTACGAGAATCATGGTTGTTCATAACTCTAAACATTGCTTGATTTGAGGAGGTAAAAATGTGGATTTGAGGGCTTGTTTTGAGAACATTTTTCTGTTAAGAGACCAGGTGTCATCTTTTTTGCTGAGCCAGAAATTGCAACCATGATGGGAAACTACTGCAAGGTTGTGGTTTTGTTTTTTTTTTATTTGAAGTTTACTGATTTTTAGCAGTAAAAGTATTAAAGAATTAATTTATGAAGTTCTGTGCAATTGTGGATCATAATGGAGATATCATAATCACATATTCAGTCCATACTTGCAGCTAGATGCGCTCTTCTTACTGCCAATATGTTCTGACTAATAAAGAACATTTCCTGTTCCTTTCCTTAAGAAATCTGCCTTTTATGTACCTCTTGATAACAAGTTATTTCAATATTGGAGCAGACTGCATACTCTAACAAACTCATATATGCTGTTACGATTGCAAGACAGCAGTTTTAGGAAGGCTGGAACACACTAATAGCCTTTGATCTGCTGTACATGCAAAGGAAACAGACTAACTCAAGTATTTGTCAAAATAAAGTCTGTATGAAGAACTTGGCCCAATGCGCAATGCTATGAAGTAATACTAAGAACAGTCTTACTGAGGCTAAATGTCTTCTACCCTTCGTTGTATGCTACAGTGGCCAGAGGTGGCTGCCTAGGATAAGCATCAGACCAGATAAATGCAGTGATACTTCTCCCACTGTTTCCCTTCTGCTTCCAAGTTCAGGGAATCACAGTATGTAATCCCTCTGTGATCTCATTTAAATAGTTCAGTCCTCCATTTCTGCTAGGCTCAGCTTGCTTCTTGTATTTGGCTACTTGCCTGCTTCAGAGGGACATTTTAACCATTTTTGAAACTTTTGGAGGATAAGAGTCATTGTATAAATATGTATCATTATTGATTCCATCTGTTGGCTACTTTAAAAGACAAAACTTTTCCTGGTAATGGCAGAATGTCTTTACTCTCTTAAGCATCGTATTTTAGTTTTATACTGTTCAGATGTCATTTGGATCATGACACATACAAATCCAAAAAGTATAATTGGCTAGGCAAATTATGGAGCAGTCTGAAATTTGGATTCTGTTACCCTTTAATTTGCCAGGTAGTCCTATTGATATAAGAATGATTACTTCCAAAAGTTGGTAGTGGTGAAGATAGAAACAAAACTACTTATTTCAAACTCTTTCAATAATCACTTCTCAAAATGTTACACAGGCTAAGAGTCTCACTCCTCAGGACTACAATCTGAGATGGTCAGGCCTGTTGGTGACCGTGGGTGAAGTGCTTGAGAAGAATATACTGAACGTCAACAGGACTGATTGGCACATGGTATTCACTGGCATGTCCCGTCGACAGATGATCTACAGTGCAGCTAAGGCTCTAGCCGGAATGTACAAACAACACTTACCACCCAGGACCGTTTGAAAGAAGGCTGATCCATGACACTAAAGAATACTGGTTTTGATTGTAGAATTGAAGTGAAAGCTGCATGTTCTAATTCTCAGTGGATTCAACACAGATTTGTAATCTAACTGTAAACTGTAGTGTACTGTTTAAGAAGTGAAGGTGGTTTCCAATAGTAGAAATGAGCAATTGCAATTTTTAACTACTATGTGATTTCCAATACAATTCACAAAACAGAAAATCAGAACAAACATATATTTATAACTGGGACAAATAGCATTACAGTTTGTAAAGTGGAATGTGCTTTTATTTGACACCTTACGAGGCATTTGCTGAGATATTTTGGTTAGTATACTTTTTTAAAAAGGGGATCATTGTTTAGCTATTTCTATTGTATTAGTAATATAAACATGTTGACAGTGTAATATGTATGCTATATATGCATTTCAATCCAGAGAGACTACCTTCTGTATTAGATGTTTTCTTGGGGCCTGTGCTTAGGTGGTACTTAACACCTCATAGGTTTGGTGTCTGTACAGAAGTTCTCAGGAGTGATACTGAGCAGTTTTTATAACACGTAACATTGAGCTGCTGAAGAAGAGCACAAACCCATGCCCCATTAGTTGAAGTTGTTGCTAAATAATTTTGAAATCTCATTTTCCATGCTGCATCTTTTTTCTTTTTATGTAACAGTAATGAAATTCATGTCCAATTAAAACACTAGACAAATTTCAAGTTGCTTCAGTGGGTTTTAGATCAGGTACCACAAACACATAGAATCATAGAATCATTTAGGTTGGAAAAGACCTTCAAGATCATCGAGTCCAACCATCATCCATGCCCACTAAACCATGTTCTGGAGTGCCTTGTCTACATGCTTTTTGAATACCTCCAGGGATGGTAACTCAGCCGCTGCCCTGGGTAGCCTATTCCAATGTCTGACAACCCTCTCAGTAAAGAAATTTTTCCTAATATCCAACCTAAACCTCCCCTGCCACAACTTGAGGCCATTTCCTCTCTTCCTATCTCCAGTCTCTTCTGTCAAGAAGAGACCAGCACCCACCTCGCTACAACCTCCTTTCAGGCAGTTGTAGAGAGCGATAAGGTCTCCCCTCAGCCTCCTCTTCTCCAGGCTAAACAGCCCCGGCTCCCTCAGCCGCTCCTCATAAGACTTGTGCTCCAGGCCCCTCACCAACTTGGTTGCCCTCCTCTGAACACGTTCCAGCAACTCAATGTCTTTCCTGTAGTGAGGGGCCCAAACCTGAACACAGTACTCGAGGTGCGGCCTCACCAGTGCCAAGTACAGGGGAACAATCACCTCCCTGCTCCTGCTGGCCCCTATCTCAACAATTTCAACAACATGATTTAGTCCAGTGCTTCCAAACTTCATATTTTATATGGAATTATGTATTTTCTTCTATCAAGTTATCATTGTCAGCAATTTTATGTGGAAAATGATGAGATATGTATCACTTGCTTTGCTATCCTGGGTTTTCTAAACATTTTTAAGCCTTAAATGCCTTCTTGATGCATGAGCTCACTGTTTCTCATATAAGTCTTCAGTAGTGTCTGTTTTTTTTCATGGCTATAAATGCCCTCTATCCATGCTCACACAATCTTAAATCTTTATTTAGAAATATGGAAGTAATTGTGAAGAAAATATTTTGGTAATAATACTTTTTTAAAAAACAAAGATTAAACAAATACTTTTTGCTTGCCTTAAAGAAGCAGTTTTTCAGCTTATATTGCTCTGCCTTTACCTTTCTTAGATGCTTTCAAAGGACATTTTTATATACAATATACTGTTAAGCCAGCTCATACTTGTATCTAGTGAAAGCCTATTTCCAAGTAATATATTTTGCCTTAATTGGCTTACTCTGTAAATTAGTTGAATAAATGTTTTTCCTAGAGGATTGTATCTATTTTAAAGGTTTATTTTTTAATATAGCTGATAAAGATCTGTTTATTGAAATTATATTTACATGGTCAAGTTACAGATTTGGCACATACTTAAATGCCTATCTTGTCTGAAAAAAGCCAAAACACATAGAACCTGACTCTTGCAGTCTTGAGGTCTGTTGTTGGGAGCACTTCTTTGTATCATAAACTAAAAAGGATGATACAGGGACTTCTGTTTGTCATTGTTCAGTAAAGGTGTCTTTCCTTTTATTTTAATTTCAATTTGCAGTGTTTAATATGTTGAATGCTGCCCTTTATCCTCTGCTTACAGCATCCTCCATGATGCAAAGGAGGACAACATGAAATCATCAGGTTTATGTGCCCTGGCATGAGTTAAAATTAAAACTGAAGAGGAATTTCCATTTTCTTTCTCCCTTTCCTGGCCCTGGCCTTCACTGTTTTTCAGAGGTGATAAGAGTGGAGGCAGAAGGCAGCTTTTCATTGTGCAGCACCTGGTTCATTGCGGTGACATTGGCCCAGCATTCCAGCTGTCTTATGAGGCTGCTAATGTGGCATACTTCAAGGCAACCCTGGCCTGCCTTAGAGAATTTTTAGGTCTCTATTGTCCTGTAGAAATTTGCTGTCTTTATGCCAAAATGAGAGCGACTGCCTGCTCTTCTTTCTGTGTACTTTGTCCTTGTGGTTGGGTGCTGGGATGTGATGTGGTCAAGTGAAACAGTTTTTCTCCATTCTAAATCTCTGGCTCGATGAAGGTCTTTTGATGTAGTTTTGACTGCTCACGCAAGAACTGAAATGTCTCAACCTGATAACTTTTGATTAGTTCCCTCCTTTTACTGAGCATTGCTCATTTATGTATAAAAAAAATAATATCCTTACATAAAAGCTAGGACCTCAACTTCTTCCCTGAGAGGCCGAGGAAAGGAAAAGTATCTGCAATATGCTCTGGAAAGCCAATAAAATTTGAAATTACTTCCTATATGAGTGAAGGCCCTTTTCAGGGTCTGAGTTGCAGGTGGCATGGATGAATTCTGGAGCAAGTTAAGATAACATTCAGCTTTTTACGATCTGCTGGGTTGTGTTGTGGGCAATAATAGGAGAGGAAGCTCACAGGAAGGCCACTGACATCCTGTGTTAAATTTATATTGACATCAACTTAGAAAACCAGATACCAGAACACATTTGGACATGTAAAGATAATTCTCAACTGCTAGTCATCACTGTAGATACAGCTGCAGAAGCCATTTCTGCTGCTTTGTGAATAGGTAAGTTTGCTCAAATATGAGTGTCATAAACAAAAGATCAGGAAAGCTCCCACATTTGAAGATGGAGGATATTGAGGATTGCTGAAAATGCTCCGGGGAATAGGTCCAGAAGGAAGAGACCAGCTATATTAATTGCTGTGTTTTATTTCTGCATTTGGAATTGCTGTTCTCATTGTTTTGTTTACTGTAGCTTTTGCAGCAGGCGGTACTGAAAGGAGTTTTTCCATGACCATGGCTTGTTCAGTACTCTCATGATGTTTTGGGGGTAGTTGCCTCAGCAAGGAAATACACCTTGATAAATAACATTGTAAAAAGAACATGATTTGGCCTGACCCACTTCTATTGTAGCTCCTGCCTCCCTGCAGTCAAATGTAAAACCACCGTAATCAGCAGGGAGAAGGAGGCCAGACTGCAAGAGATGGTCCACCTCTGTAGGTAAGCCAAAGCATAACAGCTGCTTGCTCCGCTATGGTGTTGGTGGCACTGGCTGTTTTTGCTGCACACCTTTATAATGATGCTGTAATTTCATTCACTGCTAGCATGTGGTCAGTTCAACTCCTTGGGGCTAGAGTGTGACAGATGATTGCACCAGTGCTTCTCAGCACTGCCTCATTGCTATTTCATGACTCTGACAAAGATGTCCTGATTAAAAACCTTTACATGCTTGCGTGCATGCCGAAATATATACTTGTCCATTATACTACCATTTTTTTAAAGAGTCTTTCAGATAGGTGCAGCCAAATTCTTCCAGTTTGCATTAAATTGAAGCAGATCTACATGATTTTTAAATGGAGGCAGTCTTTAAAATGTTGGAGAAGGCTCATGAGCTCTGCTATTGCCTGGTACCCTAAGCAGCAACACTTGCTGCTTTTGTGCAGCCCCTCTCATGCTACGTGTTTAAATGCACTGCTTTGTACGCATAAGGTAGTGACTCTTTAAGCCACTTATGCATTGTACAATGGCAGTATTTTAGTTATTTGGCAGAGCTGTGATAAAATCAGGTTGAACTTAAGATCTATATAAGCTAATAAGATCTATAAGCTAATGGATCATTCTTCAAAATCAGCACAAGGATTTTGTATATAGGAAGAACACTGGATTTTTATCTGGAGGCTGAAAAATAGTTTCAGGTCTTAATGAGGTTGTTGAAAGAAATCAGAGCTAGCATTTGCTGACAAGTGTAGAAGCCTCTGTACTTCCTTTATTATGTATATGTGATGCCAGCTCTAAGAGTCAGTTAAAGAATTTTGTTTGTTTCTGCAAGTAAGATTTTAGTAGATCAGAGAGAAGCTAAAGATATTTTTCCAGCTTTTTTATTCTAATTGGTTTTCTGGAAGGGGAAAAAGCCTGCTATGTCAACAGCCATCCTGTTAAAAAGATTCCGCGTCACATGTACTTTGTGACTAGTGGCTGCTCCTAGTGGCTGCTATCGAGCTTTCCCATTTGTAGTAGGAGTTTGGGGTAGTTTTTATTATAAATGGGCTCAGGAAATTCTGATTTTTTTTTTTTTAAATAAATGTACTCTGCCCATTTGGTCCAACAAGTGACCCCCCACAAGAGAATAATGTTTAAAGAAACTAAAGAGAAAATGCAAAAGGATAGCTCAGCTAAGGAATATTCCCACAAATATTCCCATGCAGTGATGAGGCGGAAAACTTCAGTGGACTGAGAGGTTCCCAGGAGCAGAATGAATGAATTGCGAAAGTTGGACCTGACTGCATGACTGGAAAGCTGAGAGGCCAGAAACTGAGAAAGGAAGATTCTCAGAGGCTTGCTGCAAGCAGTCAGTTTGCCTGCCCATCTGATTCAAAAATGAGTGTTTAGGAGAGAGTGAAATATTTAGCCTTGGTTTTATCTCTTTTTCCCAATATTCTGGTCCCATAGTTAGTATATCCATTCCGTAGAAAAAAGGATACTCCATATTTTTTGAAATATCTGTAGCCTGCTTAAAAGTTATCCAGCAGAGGTCCGAGTTGAAAGCTTTGCAAAAAGAAGCCAGATACTTGTCTCTGTAGTAGTATCCTCAAAAGAGGAACGAGTGCCCACCAGTTACAGGTGTACCTGTGAAATAAAGCATGCATGGGGTGGCAGCACAGATGAGCTTACATGTGCTAATTTTATTCTAGTTGGTCCAGATGACAACAGAAGGAAAAACACAGGCATGTATTTGGGCCCTGGATACTTTTGGACTGGTTGATACTCTGCAATTAAACGCTTGGCACTGCTTTTTCAAAATGCTTGCTAATTGTGTCAAGGTACAGCTGGTAAAAGTGTGGCTACGTGTGCGCTGCATTTCCACCTTTATCTTGTAATGGTGCCCTGCCCTAAGAATATACAATACAGAATAGCAAAGGTTAAAATTAGACGTATGATGCAAATACACGCCAGGGTCAAATTCAGTCCTGTTTCAATTGATTTGACTTAACTGAAGATACAGCAGCCATGAATAAAAGCAAACAACTATTACTTATTCTTTTCAAATCCTTAATGTGTATAAGTACTTTCTAGAACAAAAATACTGGCATGCCACCTCTGTAAGATTAGATAGATGAATTTTAGGCATGATGTCACAAATGATGTTGGAGGAGAGTGTGACTGGGTTATCAGTAGAGAAGGGCTGGAAATTTAAGAGTGCAAAACTGCTTTGCTTGG